GTAAAACCAATGAAAAACAAACCAGTGTAAGAGATACAGGTCATAAAAGGAACAAAGTAATTTAACGAAAATTAGAAAAGTAAAATCAGCTTCGAAGAAACTTTCTATATTAGCAATAAAGGCATAAATGTGGTTAAATGCACTAAACATTTTTATTTTTGAAATAGTTTATTTATGTTATGAAAGCTACAACATATCAGAGCACATTAAACACTAGCAGGATTTCTCTTTGTAATAACTATGTTATGATTGTCTTATGAGGGGCTTAAGACTGGGTCCGAAAGAACCCATCCATCCATCCCTTATCTGCTGTAAATTTGTACTTTCGTGTCGTAGTTGCTGACTCTGTGTCTCAGTGCTTCTCCCTGAGGGATACAAAAACCAGTATATGTATTTATCCACTTGGTATGACAGATAGCAAGGAGGGTATGCATATGCAAAAGTAGCAAAATGGTATTTATACTCACCTTATATTCTGGCTAACTGGTTTTGCATATGTTTACTTGAATGTCATGGAGGGTCCAGTAGAACCACATCACTCTGGGGTGTGTTTTTTAAAAAAAGTTTTCTTTTGCTTTTCTGGTAGAAGTAGCCCTGTTAAGTGCAATGGCATATGAAAAACAGATTTGTAAGTTTTAGAAGAAGTCAAAAGTGAATCATCAGATGAATCATGAAGATGATCCATTATAATAAAGTACATGCTTTCATAATGAAGAGAAGTGTGGGTGTATGATGATCATGAGTTTGACATTGGCTATGTGAGCCAAAGTTTCTGTGACAGTGAACCAGAGCAAGAATCAAGTAATACAGAAATAGTCTGTATGCAGAGCTCCTTGATCCAGATGATGAAGAAAACAGTAATGTGATTGCTTATTTGATGAGTTGAAATGAAGCAAAATGGCCACACAATAAAATGGAGCAACGCAGTGTTAGAACAGTGTCTGAAAATATAGTGCAGGTCTAGGCAATGTTGAAACATAATGAACAGAAAGCCAGCACTACTATTCATTGTTGGAAATTGTAACAGACAAAATGCTAAAAGATACTGTGAAATATGCAAGGGCTGAAATGCAGGTAAAATGTTCTGTATGCACCAATGGCCATATTAACAAATGTATTTATTATGACATCTCACAAGCTGAACTAAAAGCATTCATATGTCTGTTATACTTAGCAAGCATTTCCCAAGGTCATCACAGGAATGTAAAAAATTTATTGAAAAGCAGTGGGTCAAACTGTGACATAAAATTTATGTCCTTGTAGATGAAAAGACTTGTTATATTTTCAGTTTAAGCATTTGTCCTGGAGCTCAGCCAGTCTTACTAGGATAGTAGTAAAATGAATTATGCTATGAACAGATGTTATTCCCAGTTCTCAAACTAATCAGAGTGTGATATTCAACAGTATGTTTACTAGTTTGCAATTGATGTTACATTTGCTAACAGAGTACAAGTTGACCAGCACAGGAATTATATAAGGAAAAAAACAAAAATGAAATATTGCTATTTCAAAACAGACCTTTGTATATTATAATCTTTGTATTTTAGAAAAATATATCATTGGCTTCATAAGTGGCAAAGAAAAACAAAGTGGTATTGTCAATATCAACTTTCCACCATGATGGAAGTTTTGTTTTCCAATCAGATTTTGTTGGTATATTTTTTTTCTTTTGTCTTTTTGAGTCAGGGTTTCACTATGCTGTTCAGGCTGGCCTAGAACTCACTTTGTAGCTCAGGCTGGGTCAAACTTGCAGCAATTTTCCTACCTCAGCCTCCTGAATGCTGGGATTACAGATATGTGCCACCGTGCCCAGCTATTGGTACATTTTAGATGTACATAATGATCACATTCATCAGAGAATTTGTACTTGTACATGATATAACTTGTTTTTTTCCATTTCCCTACCCTCACTTCAACTCATTCCTCTCCCCAGTAACAAAAGCTTTGTTTCTATTTTTTTCCTTTTTTTTTTTTTTTTTCTCACTTTGTTTTCCTTTTTTTTGTTTCTCCTTTTTTTGAGACAAAATCTTGCTATGCAGTTTAGGCTCTCCTTGGAACTCATTATGTAGTTCTAGCTGGCCTCAAACTCCCAGTAGTCCTGTCTCTATCTCCCCAGATGCTGGGATTATAAGCATTTGCCTTGTAATGGTTGATACATTGTGTCAATTTGAGAAGTTTCAAAGTTTAACTAATAGGCTCAGCAGGGAACTGGGGTTCTTACTTTGTAAACATTCTAACCAGATGCAGAGGAGGGCAAGGAGATTTTGTGAATGCTGTACTTGCCCAAGGAGGTGGGTAGCCTGCTTCTTACAATGTAAGGGAGAAAAGGCTTTTCCCTGATTGTGTTCTGGCTGCTTTTGCTTGCATCTGCCTTGAAGTGTTGCCCCCGTGCCATGCAACCTTGCCTTGCAGCCAGCTAATTTTGGACTGAAACCACCACAAACAGCTAAATAAACCTTTCCTTCCTTCATTTTGGGTGTCAGGTGTTTTATCCCAGCAACAATAGAAAAGTAACCCAGACACACTACCATGCCTGGCTTATTAGGGCAGTAATGATAGGGCAACCTCAGTAAAAGGGAATCCTCAGATGGAGACTTTCTACTACAAAATCAAAGGTGAAGTAGATGTTGTTGATGAGTTGTGTAGCACCTGTGATGTCACTTGAAACAGCATTCATCAGTGGTTGTGTTTCATTGGATGCTAAATAAGTATGGCATAAATAGTTTGATAGTTTACAAATAAAGTAAGTGCAAAATACTGCAGAGAAACTTTCTTAGAGTATTAAACTGAAGCTCATAAGATCATTTACAGCAGAGGAAAAATAAAATGTTTCTGCCCAGGAAACTAGGAAAAAAAATTGTGGAGCACATCAGTGAGCTGGCAGCAGGTGAACAGGCAGCCACAGCATCACAAAGACCTACTATAATAACAGGCAAATATAAACTATGTCAACTGTGCCCTATGGGAAAAGACAGGAAAACAAAACACATGCTTATCAACGTAAGCAATAATTGTGTATGGAACATGCAGTTCTCATGTGTGAAGATTACCTTGGGTGTGACTGTTGAAGCAGAGCTTATTTCTGTGGCAGACTTTTGTTTGTTTACATTCTAGTACACATAGGATTTTTTTTTTTTTTTTTTTTTTTGGTCTTTTTTTGTTTTTTTCCTTTTTGTCGGTACCGGGGATCAAACTCACGACTGCCTGCTTGCAAGGCAGGTGCTTATGCCGCTGAGCTAAATCCCCAGCCCCTACACATAGGATTTTATTTTTGAAATTATGTTTTAGGTTTTGTAAGCAAGTACATAGCTGATGTAAAAATGTTGCTGTCTATTCACTTACGCACTTATTACATATTTGATATTTTATTTTATTGGTACTTTATTTCACTGCTAAGTGCTTTATTAGGAAGCTCCTGAAAAAAACAGGAAGGTAAGAGAGATGACAAGAATGCCACATATGAAAGCTGAGCACATGTGCTGTCAGTATAAGTGAGGTGTATGTTGAAACATGTACTTGTTATGTGTGAAGACTGCCTTGGGTAGGATAGTTAAAGCGAGGCTCATTTTTGTGGTAGAGTTCTATTGGCATTTAAATTGCAATTCATATAGGAATTTATTTCTGATATTATCTTTTAGGTTTTGTAAGGAAGTACACAGCTGATGTGAAAATGCCATTCTAAACACACAATATAGTAAGAATTTAATACTTTATTTTATTGATATTTTATGTTCTTGTTAACGGCACACTGTATAATAAGAACCTCCTGACAAAACAGCAAGACCAGTGAGATGTCAAGTATGTTCTACAGAAAGGCCAAGAAAGCATAAGACATTGTGAGGTCAGTGTCAGTAATGCATGCATATGGAACATGCTGTTTTCACATGTGCAGACTACTTTAGATGTTATAATTGAAATAACGATTTTTTTGTAAAGTGCTGTTTTCATTGTAAACTACTGTTTTCATTCATATAAGAATTTGTGTTTTTTTAGACTTAGTACACCAAAAACAGTTGATGTTGAAAATTTTTATGCTTTTTAAATAAACAATAAATACTAAGAACTCAGTACTTTTTTGTTATTTTTTCTATTAAGTGCTCATTGTTTAATATAACTCAAAATTAATAATCAGTAGAAATATTATAAAGAAAAATGTGGGTCTGACAGAGCTATGTTTATGTGCCTTCAATACAAAATTCGTCACATGTCCCAAATTAATGTTGCTATACTACTGTTACTACAGAAATATTATCCATGTCATTTCTATTTGGGTGAGTTCTATAGATGTAGCTATTTGTGCCAAAAGTTTTCAAGTTTAAAAAGTTGTTGTAGTCCTGGCAATTTTTATCCTTTTCAAAAATACCAATTTGATATTTACACCTAAAACCATACTAACCCAAGGAAAAGGATTAACAAAGACAGAAACTTCTAGGTGCCTCCCAGAAGCCCAAGAAAACAATTCTTGTTGTCCATAGTGAAGAAGACCTGATTCTAAAAGACACCCTGAAATCTCTAGAAATTGCCTATCAACATCAGAAGCAGGAAAAAATTTGCAACAGCAGCTGTTTGAATTTTGATATTCTATGTTGTCTTTTATCAAGAGTTCTGTTGTACTTTGGTAATGTTAGAGTTTTCCTGCCCATTTCAGTTTAATTTCTTTCTCAAGGCTTTTAAGGGTAATTTTCTTTTCATCAGACCATCATCAGAATCTATTTGCTGGCAAAGCTGGTTTTTCTCCAAAGTTATGGGAATAATTTATGACAAAGATCATAAAGAGAATTTATTCTGCCAAGAATAAGTTGGGTGTGTGTATGTGTGTGTGTTGCATATATATCAGTTTTGGTCAGCTGTACTGAAAGAGCTGCAATAAGATATTTTCCTGTGTGTTAATCAAGTCCACACAGACAAAGCTCAAGGAAGGATGACCCCCTACCTCAGGAAGTTGTGAATCAGTTGCTATTTATAACCAGTATACAATAGAATTTGAGAGCAAGTCTGTGCTCAGATGGCAGGAAAAACTTTATTGCTAAATTTCGTATTTGAGAAAACAGTTTATGGGCCTGACTGAGTGAAGCCTCTAAGTGAAAGGAAGTAATGTGACAGCCACTGTAAGTATTTTGCATATTTGGGTCAAGAATGTGGTAGCAGAGATGTAGGAATTTCAGTCCCTGAAAAGCAAGTGTTTTATTTTGAAGAGACAATATTTAACGGGCAACTTGGGTTCACTTTAGCAGGTTGTTTATGCAGTTGAGCTGCTAATAGAGTTGAAATAAGGGTATATGATAGACTAATACTGCCTATCAACTTAAGATAGGGAATACCTATTGTGTATATTTGCAAACTAACTGACTCTTGCTGTGGATGTGTACATTAAATTTTTGGTCAGTCAATGTCTGCCTTTCTTTCTTTCTTTCTTTCTTTCTTTCTTTCTTTCTTTCTTTCGAGGGGGGCAGGTACTAGGAATTGAACTCAAGACCTTGAGCTTACCATGCAGGTGCTTATGCCGCTGAGCTATATCCCTGGCCCGGTCAATGTATTTCTATATATGTGTGCTGGCCCTTTTTTGATGAAGACAAAGTTTCATAAAGAATTGGTTTACTGTAAGCTGGGTGTGGTGGTGTACATCTGTAATTCCAGCACTCAGGAGACTGAGGCAGTAGAATCATGAAAAGTTCAAGGCTAGCCTGAGCCACATAGAAAATTCAAAATTAGCGTGAACTACATAGTGAGACCCTATCTCAAAAACAAACAAATGAACAATAAAATTGTTTTATTAAAAAATAATGTATACTGCTATAGGTAATGCTTAAAACCCTCATTATACTTAATCTAAGGAAATTAAATGTGGCAGAATATTAAATCTGTTTTGAAATGACAGGGGTTTTTTGTTTTTGTCCTTTTCCTTTTTATCGGTACCAGGGATCGAACTCACGACTGCCTGCTTGCAAGGCAGGAGCTTATGTCACTGAGCTAAATCCCCAGCCCCTGAAATGACCGCTTTAAAAAATGTCACAATGTTGTATTTTCTCAGTATCTTACTTTAGGATTACCTTTATGGAGTTGAATTACACATGCATTTTTACTCCTGTGATGTAAATTAATTGCTTAAGGTTAAGTGGGTGATGTTTTAGTAGAGTTTAAATTAAGGAGTTATATATTGTGTTAACATTCTTGTCTCATTTTAATAGGATTATTCAAGACAAAGTTAAAGCCATTTCCCATGAGGATCAGTGATCAAAATTAATTGTTTTTAAAAAGACATTTACAAGTTAAACATGAAAGAAAAGTACTGGAGCCATTTCACTTCCAACAGCATAAACTGTATAGCATTTCACTGTCACTTTTAATGGAACCTTTGTAAGATTCATCACTTGTCATGCACACAACAGGGAACATGGATGTTGGTTTTTCTCGTTCTGCTGTTCAGACATTGTCAAGAAGCCACTGCAAAAACATCAAACAAAAAATTTCCCAGTGGGAAGGAAGGACTAATGGTACGTCTAATCTATCCAAGTGGCATCCAAAGGACTTTGGAGTGAGATACAACTGTCACCAAGAGATTCTCAAGAAAAATCCTATTGCTAGGGTTCAGAACAAAAACTTGGGTATAACCAACTCTCAAAATGTGGGTTTAGATATGAGTGAAGGTGCTAAAAGCCATGATCTGAGTGAGGATGAAGGTGGAAATCATGACTATGATGATACACACATCTTTAAAAATGAATCAGAATCCAGTTGGGTATGTTCCAGAGTCAAACAAATTGAAAGCTGGAAAGAAGTTGTGATAGGTTCTGAGACTTCATTATCTCCAGGAAACTTGTATACCTCACAAATATTGTGGAAGAAAATAGAAGCACTTCCTCCAGATAAAGTCTTAAATTTGGCTTTAGAGCCTTGTGGCCTTTCAGAAAAAAAACTGAATTGTAGCATTCTAAATAATTCATATGGAATGACTAAGAGCTTAGAAAATATTTACTCTGAACCTGAGGGGCAAGAATGTGGATCTTCTATAAACCCTTTGCCAAAACCACGCAGGACATTCAGGTACTTATCCGAGTCTGGTGTTAGACCATATGAAGAAAGGAACTGTGACAGAAAACACTGTGAAAATAGTTCTTGTGCAGAATCTACATTGGCCTCTTCTCGGGACCTTGAACCAAAGAAATATGGAGGAAAAATTAGAGGGAGATCAAAGAGGTATGTTTTTATCTTAGGCAAAATGATTTGCAAGCATTTTCTTTTTAGGATTAGTTCTCTTTCCTTTCAAATCAATTTTAATTTCTTAGCCTAGCTTACAGCCTTAATTTGATCATATTGATATTGACTAACATACAGGGAAAATGAAAAGAAGAAAAAGTAGAAGTAATATCTATAACAATTAGCTTAGTATATCAGAAAACCTTCCATTTGTATCTTTGGTTGGTTCATTTTCGTTTTTGTTTTTCTAGACAGTGTCTCACTGTGTATTTCAGGCTGGCCTTCAACTCAGTATGCAAACCAGGCTTAGGCTTCAGGCTGGCCTTCAACTCATTTTATAGCCAAGCCTGGAACTTGCTATGTTCTCTTGCCTCAACCTCTTGAGTTGTTAGGATTACAGGTGTGTGCCACTACACTTGGCTTCCTGTTTGATTTGTAGGGCCAAATATGGTACAATGCCTGTAATCCCAGCACTCAGGATGCTAACGTAGGAGGATTGTGAGTTGAGGTATGAGACCCTCTCTCCAAAAACAACAAAAACCAAGGGCAGGGGCAAGGCAGCACATGCCTGCAAGCTCAGTACTTAAGAGGATGAAGTGGGAAGATTAGCCTGGGCTACATAGAAAGGCCCAGTCTCAAAATTAAAAAAAAAAAAAAAAAAAAAAAAAGAAAGATTGCTTACTTTTAATGAATGAGTAAACATAATGAACCTAGTGAAATCTGATGTGGTGGCGCACACCTGTAATCCCAGCACTCCAGAATCTGAGGCAGGAAGAGTGCCACAAATTTGAGGCTAGTTTGGGCCGCACACTGAGTTCAAGTCCAACCTGAACTACACAGTGAGACCCCGTCTCAAAAAAAAAAAAGGTAAAGAACATGAATGTTAGAAGGAATCAAAATATATCATGCACATGTACAAATTTCCTGTGATGAGTATGATCACTAATAACTCAATTTAAAAAAATAACATGAATATGTTTGCTTAAAACCCTTCACTTTTGTCATGTGCGTAGAGGGCATCAGTGTAGTTTATTCTTACATCTTTGATAAAACGATTTTTGATGTTTCACTCAAATCCTTTACTTAGCAGTTTCTATTTAAAGAAGATTAGAGTTTTGAAAAATATAGCATTAAAATGTATCTTCTTTCCTAAGGAAATCCTTTGAATTTGAGGATATTCAGCACTTTCGAAATCGGAATTCACAGCAGATTCATAAAGAACTTGGGAGAAATTCTGGTTCAGCACTTTATTACACACAGTCTGAGGATAATATCTATGAAGATATCATGTGTAGGTGTATACAACTTTGCTCTTAAATTTAATGAGTATGTATTTGATACTGTCTAATTATAGGATAGTATTTTCTTTTATAATCAAACATAATCTTGGTCTACATTTGTCTTTGTAGTATGGGTACGTTTGGTATAATTTTTTTTACTCTAGTGAATTTTACAACTAGTGCAATGGATTATTCAATTTAAAAGTAAATGTTTTTTACCTTGGTTTGATGTTGCTCTCAAAAACCACATTTCTACAGCAGTGAAGAATAAGAACCCTAAATATAATCAATTTTTAAAAATTTTGCTGTGTTCACTTCCTTTATTTCTATTTAATTATGTTGCTGTAAGCAATTTTTGTTACTTTTCAAGATCCCACCAAAGAAAATCCATATGAAGATATTCCAGTGCAGCCTCTGCCTTTGTGGAGATCCCCTTCAGCATGGAAGCTACCACCCACTAAAAGTGCTTTCAAAACACCCAAGGTACAGCTACAAGATTAATTGAAAGAACATTAGAGTCTTGTTTTATGTTCTATACAAAATAGTTAAAATGGTTTAAATGGGGCCAAAACTAAGAGACAATTTTGTTGTTGGTTTTTTTAGGCACTACATAGTTTTTTTTTTTTCTTTTTCTTTGCCTGGTTGTTTTTTTGTTATCATTTTAACACCTCAGAAAATTTGAATGTAAGTACCTTTAGATGAACCATGAACAATTTTCAGTTTAGTGCAGTTCCGGCTATTCCCTCTTAGTCTCACATCATCCTGTGACTTAAATTACCTGCCCTGGTGCCTGAGAGTATTGAAACCTCTGGCTCTAAGTTATGAAGGTTCTCTAGGAATTTGATTACAGTGTAGGAAGACTTTGAATTCTAAAACTGAGAAACCTCTTTACTCGTGGTGAAAAAGAAATTATGGTATTCTCATTTGAAATTATTTTAAAGGAAAGATGAATATTTTCCTGGGCTAGCTTTGACTTTCCATGAAAACACGGGTGTTAACTGGATGACTTTACCTTTACCTGCATATCGTCTCCTTTTCTAGCTTCCTCCCAAACCGCAGTTCCTTCACCGAAAGACTATGGAACTGAAGAACTCCCAAGCTTATTTCCGGTCAAAGTTTACCAAGGATACCACTTTGCCTGTCACTTTAACTGAATGGAAACTTTTCGGAGCTGGAGATTTTGCAAACAGAAACAGGAGAAATCTTCCAAGGGTAAGGACTTCAGTACTTTCATTCGTCTTATTTCAATATTTCCATAAGTGAGAATAAATAAACATTAAACCGAAATGAATAATAGGTTATAAAAAATCTATTGGAATTAAAAGATGTGGAAAGCAGCCTTAAGTTTTAAACTTTTGGTTATGCAATAAAATTGCACGATTTGCTTTTGCCAGGGTTTCTTTTTGAGTTGGGAAGTTGATATTACATGGGTGGCTTCACTTCAATTACTGTAGCTCAAAATTAGCTGTCTGTTTTAAGGAAGCACCAGAATCTCATAAAAGGAACATTCTTTCAAGCTAGTTTCAGTGTTGTTCCTACTTGTATTAAGTTCCTATTTGACTTAAGTTTTATGCCTTAATTTACAGATTTTCAGTAGTGACTAGGTAAATACAGTATATACAGTATATTTCAGGCAAAAATTTCCAGTCAGAGGAGGAAAAAGAGAGGTTGAACTGTTACTTGGAACTAAAAACTTACCAGCAATCATACTGAATAACTTAATTCTCCAGGGAAAAAAGGCAGTACATCATCCCATTTTCAACAACTGCAACCCAAAAAAAGAAATCAAGATTAACTGTGGACAGATATATTGTCTTTTAGGAAAGACACCTAAGAAAATATGTGTAAATAATTTTAAACCATTACTTTGTTCTTTTAATTCAGAGTGTTTTTAAGATTGACAAAATACTATGCAGATAGTATTCAGCCATAAAGAAGTCAAGTCATTTAAGTGTTATTTCTTTTCTTACTCCTATTTGAATTAGCAATGTGTATTCATCTAGCACATAATTTGTATACCTGATTTTAACATTAAAGTCACAGTTTTTTATTGTCTCAGTTTCTGTTCTTTGGTTTCTTGGGAAATATTCTGCTTCACAATTAAATTCTTCCTGTTTCCTGCCTTCTCTTTTTAAAATTCACAGATTTGAAAAACTGCCAGCCATCCAGCAGCAGATTCTCCTTTGGTAAATCATGCTAGTATAACAAAGCAGCTTCCCACATGGCCCTGAAATAACAGATTATGTGTTCTTTAGAGGAAGAATACAGACACCTACAGCACTGCATTAAGGTTCTTAAAATCTTAGAACGGCAGTAGCAAATACTAATCATGCATTGTAGAGTTAAATGAGGCCCATGGAGATTTTCTAGTGGTTTTGATTTTTGTGTACTGTGAATCTTGAGGACTAAAAACTTATCCTCTTCTTGATGATAGGTGGTTTGTTCCAACTGTTCCTTTTTTAAAAGTTTCCAAAAGGTTTTTTGAGAGAAACAGAATGAAAGAAAATGGTGATGAACTCTTGATTGTTGGTCAGGAACAGGTGGTCAGCATTTCTACCTGTGACCTTCTGCTTTTATGATATCACATATGCAATCTGGCTTTGAAGTATTTTAAGAACAATATTCCATAAGAAGAGCAGTTTGTGTTTATTTACCCTCTGATGACAGGAAGGAAAATTGCTTTCGCAGTCGAAAATCACTGATCTAATCCATATGCTTCTCTCCTACCCTTCCTTTCTCTTCCTGCTTTGAAAGCATATTTGAGGTTGTTTGCTAGAGTATGTTTCCTGCTGTTTTATGTTATTTGTGTCAAGACTGTACAGCAGTATGGCTTCTGTCATTTCTTAGAGCATTCTACTGCAACTAAAAGGTGAAGATAGGCTCCTTTTCCAACCTCATAATCAGAACTTAAATTTATCACTTTACTTCATACTTGTAGAACAGTAGTGTCCTTTCCTTATAGTTTTAAGGAAATATTTTGATATTCTTTTCAAATGTACATTAATAAATTATGCTATGTTTAAGTTGGCTGTAGTAGTGCATGCATGTAATCTCAGCAGTAGGAAGGTTAAGGCAGGATGATTGTGAGTTAGAGGTCAGCCTGGGTACATAGTGAGTTCAAGGCAAGCCTAAAATGTATAGTGAAATCCTATCTCAAAAAAGAAAGAAAAAAGGAGGAAGAGGGAGGGGAAGTAGGGAAGGAAGAGGAGGAAGAAAGAAGTGAAAAGAATCACTGGCAACTTTTCACCGGAATTCAGTTATAAAAAAATTAAGAGAATAAAGTCATCCAGAAATGTAGGAATAATCTGCATAGAAGATGCACATGTTTCTCACATTTTTTTTTTCTTGTGCTGGACTGCTTCACAGCCTGTTTATTGCCAGACTGAGAGAGACAAAGACAAAAGAGAAAACAAGAGTATTTTTCTCAAGCAACTTTGTTGATTGTCATCTAATATAATGATCTTAACAGTTGAAATTCTAGGCATTAAGTGTGCTAAAATAGGATTAATAAGAAAAGTATGGAATCTTAATGTAAAAATACACATGGAAAAACTATTCCTTATTTTAAAAGTGCCTATCAGGTACTGTAATTCTTTTTTACCCAACCTACTTTGTGTTTCTAGCTATTTCTATCTCTTTCTCAGATACAATGCGCGCATGCGCACACACACACACAAACACACACACACAGCTTTCCCAGCAACCAAGAAAGAATTCTGATAAATGCTTATTAGGGAGAAGTAGATATATATAACAATTTAAAAATTAATAGTGTTAGCTGAGCATGGTGGTGTATGCCTGTAATTCCAGAACCTGGGAGGGTAAGCCAGGAGGTTTGAGCCTAGCCTGGTCAACCTTGTAACCTAGCAAGATTCTGTCTCAAATGAAAAATGAGCTAAGAATGTAACTCAGTGGAAAGGCCCTAGGTTCAATCCCCAGGACTGACCCTCCAAATTATTAATTTTTAAAATGAGCGGAAGGAGTAGAAAAACATAGTTTTGTACTTTGGCATATTTGAGAGTCTCTTTTTTTAAGGACATTTTTCTAAAATAAATTGTAATATCTGTACTCTCAGTAAGAAAGTGTATTTTCTTTGACCAAAACTTGGCCGGGGGAGGGGTGCTGAGGCAGGATGATCACAAAGTTGAGACCAGGCTGGGCAATATAATGATTTAATGATTCCCTGTCTCAAAATAAAAAATAAGAGTGTGGTGTGACGACCACATGCTTATAATTCTAGCACTCAGAATGCTGAGGCAGGAAGATTGCTGATTCAAGATCAGCCTGAACTACATAGACTCTATATCAATTAAAAAAAAAAAAAGCTGAGGGACTGAGAATGTAACTTAGTGCAAAGGCTCTGGCTTTACCCCTAGTACCTTAAAAATAAAATGGTAACAAAAACACTTGCCAGGCGTGATTATCTTCTTTTTGGAAGAATTCTTGGGAGCAGAAATAACTGAGCTTCATTTTCTTCCAAATGAGTGAGTGTTTCTCTTCCTACTCTGGGCAAGCAAAAGCTTGCATATAATAATGACTTGGTCATTGTAGAGAATGTGGTAGTCACCTTGCCTGCATGTTGTGACATGGAATGACAAGGAATCTCCCTAAGAGGCTGTACTGGTTTCATCTGGAAAGAAGTCACCATACCCATTTTATATGGAATTGGTATTTTGTTTGTACAGGATCTTGCTACATAGTTCAGACTGGCCTTGAACTGCACTCAGTGTTTGAACAATATGTCATGTAAAGATCATCACTTAAAATTTTAAAAAAATAAAAGTTTTTACCTATAAAATACATCTCATGTCTAAATTAGAATCACTAATTAAATCATCAAGCTGCAAACCTTGTGTTGGTTTTAACTAGTATTTTCCTGAACTTCTTTCAGTTTGTATTGAAAATAGATGATATATTTCAATCCAAGAGAGGAAAGAAGAAGGTAAAGTTACACCCTTACACTGGAAAGGAGGTATCTCCTTCAAAAGGTAAGAATTATAATTGTTCTGCTACTTACAGGTGTCAACATTTGAGGGGAAAATCATTATAAAACTTAATGTCTGAAATGAATTATAATTTTTTATTACTTTCCTGTCAGTCCAACTTCAGTATAAAATTCTTTAGGATAAGGGGTCATTTTGCCGATTTCTTTCATTTAGTTCTGTCCCAAGTAATAAGTGTTGAGTGAGTAAATAAATGAAAAAAAAAAAAAAAAAAGAAACTAGTGAATCTAATTTTCATAGGTAGTTTGAATGATTGTTTTGTAGTTCTACTTTGATTTGTAGTCATACCCCAATATGAAATGAAAATATTAGGTATTCACAGACTGGAGGTATGTAGTACTCAACTTGTAATCATGAGTTCATAAGTTTTAAGTTCTATATGTAGATGGTTATATAAAACTTAACTTACCCTGCGAAGCATAGTGGCACATGCCTGTAATTCCAGTACTTCAGGAGGTTGAGGTAGGGAGAATCACAGGAAACCTGGGCAATTTAGTGACCTAGTGAGACCTGTTTCAAAATAAGAAATTATAAAAAGGGGCTTTAAAAAAAGCTCAGTGCAGAGGTCCTGAGTTCATTCCCCACTGTCACCAAAAAATCCTTATATTTCCTTAATAAGCATTCAGTATTTATAGTGAATTACTAGATTTTCATAAAAAGTTGTGAGGGTTTTGGGTATAACTTCGTGGTAGAGCATTTGCCTAATATGTGGGATGCCCTGGGTTTGATTCTCAGCATTGCAAAAACAAAACAAACAAACATAAGACATGTGAGAGTCTAAGCTTTTTTGGTAAAAAAAAAATGTAGAATTTAGTAATTTTTATTAATAAGATTAATAAGAGAGAAACAGTAGTAAAGGCATTCTAGAGAAGAATGTTTCTTACTTTTTTTTTTCTGTTTGAGACAGGGTCTTGCTATACAGTTCAGGCTGCCCTTCAGCTCACTTTGTAGCTCAGGCTGGTCTCGTACTCAAAACGGTGCTACTGCCTCAGCCTCCTCCCGAGCCACCTGGGATTACATGTGTGCACCACCACACTTGGCTGTATTTCTCACTTTTGCAGTTTTCTAAAGATAGAAATTTTTAAATTTCCCCTAAAAACACATTCTATGTTCTAGCAACTTCCTATCTGAAAATAAAATCCTATTTCAACTTGCACTCTATTTTTACTCTGTGATGATTATGTTTAATCACAGCACCACACACCACAACAAAATCAACTTGTCACTTTTTAACGTGAGCTTTCAGATTTTTCAAAGTGCTTTACAAAATATATTTCAGTCTTCTCCTTTGGGGAAGAAACTTTTAGTTGTGCTGCCTGTATCTCATGTCTGACTGGAGTTAGGCACCAACCTAAAATGACAGGCAGAAGCCGAGCCTGAGGAAGAAGCGTACCTTCCCACCAACTACCATGGTTTCACCGTCGGATCATTTCCTGTCATCAACAGTGACTCTCATAAACCTGGATTTTTTAACAGTTTACTGCTTTTTCATGTATTTCCCTCTCATCAAGGATATTATGAAAAAAATTTTAAATTTGTATAATTCAGAACTAGACAGAGAATGAAATCTGTACAATTATTGTCTTAGATTCCTCCTGATACATTATTTCTAACTTTCTAAATAATCCTGTGTGAGAAATGGAATTGTCACTGTTTTATAGATAAGGAAATTATAAATTGCTAATTATGTAAAATGTCAAGACCTTGGGGCAAGGACAAGTACTTGTAAAACATCATTTCTCTGAATTAACAGCATTTTTTGTGTGCATGCCAAATGGATTAGGATTTTAGTAAGTTTGCTTTAAGACTAGTGTTTTTGGCCTTGTTTGCTTGTTTTGTTTTGTTTTTAATGAAACAGGATCTCACTATGTTGTCCAGGCTGGCCTTAAACTCCTGAGCTCAAATGATTCTCCTGCCTTAGCCTCCCAAGTAGCTGGATATATGGCCTCATGCCACCACACCTGACTGAAGACTAGTTTTTGAACAGTCAACTCCTTTAAAACAAAAATCTCCCAAGCAAACTACATCAATATTGAAAAGGGAAGAGAAAGATTTCAGTTACCTAAATTGCCAATATCTAGTACCACAAAAAAAAAAAGAAAAAAAGTAGTAGTTACTGCAGTGTAGTTCCATGATAGTTTTCTCCCCCTTTGTATAACTCAAAGAAAATAAGTTTTTACCCAGCCTTTGTGACCAACTCCTCCAAGTAGAGGAGCTTTTCTCAGCCTGAGAATCTCCTAGCTCCATTGTGACAGTTCTGATTTCATTTTCCTAAAGCTTTATTCGTTTATTAACAGTGCCTAGCAGAACTGAATGATCATGTATGCCTTTCAGTACATGCTTCCTGAGTATATTTCAACATCAACATTTCTTAACTTTCAGTTTGCAAGTATTACAGAATGATTTATTGAATTCTGTCATACTTATTAGTTTTTCATTTTTTGTTTGTTTGTTTTTTGTTTTTAGAAATAGGGTCTCACCATATAGTTCAGTGAGTTTAGGAACTCACTGTTTACCCCAGGCTGGCCTTGAACTCCCAGCAATGCTCCTTTGCCACAGCCTCCAAAGTGCTGGGGTTACAGGTGTGCTTCACGGCCCTGGCTTCTTTCTTTCTTTCCAGACATTTGATAAGCTCCTAAGAGACTCCTGGTGCTAAGTATACAAATACTTTTTGTGCCCAAATAGTCACATTATTCAGACTTTATATGCCCTCCATTTTTATGAAACTTAAATAGATGATAAATTTTTATAAAGACTGGGAATATAGCTCAATGAGGCCCTCAATTCAATTCTAGACTTCAAAAAAAATTTTTATTAGCTGATTGTTTCTAATGTTTCATTTAGCCTATAGATATTTAAATTTTGTATGGGTAAAGATATACATATATATATCTTCAAACAGTATTGTAATGTGTATCCTACTTAGATCTTTTGCTTCGGCCTCTAAGTGATAGGATTATAAGTATGTCCAGCTCCATGCCCACTTCAGCCCTTTCGTTAAACTTTTTTCTTTTTTTTGGTAAATTGTGTGCCCCGAATTATGATACAAAACACTTCTTCATAGACTGGAGATATTGCTTAATGGTGGAGTAAATGCTTAGCATTTGCAAGGCCCTGAAATCAGTCCAAGTGCCAGATAAACAAACCAGTTCCCAACAATTCCTTGTAAAAACACCATAGACCCTTATCCTCAGGATACTTAAAATATGATTTCATAAAATAGAAACAGAATAAATCATTATTAGAACTATAAGAATTCAGAGTAAAGGAGATATCAATATGGGCTCATAGGTAGTTAGAGGTATACAGAAGAGGTTAAATGATACTTCATTACTTGGAAGCCAAGTGTGGTGGTGGGTACGTATTAATCCCAGCACTCTAGGAGGCTGAGGCAGGAGGATTGCATGTTTGAGCCCACCATAAACAGTTTAGCAATTTAGTTAGACCTCATCTCAAAATAACAAGGGCTAATGGTGTAACTTAGTGTTCAATCTTAGTATCACAAAACAAAAATCTTTTGATACTCTTTCTCAAAGCTGTAGTCTGGTTGATGTTCAGGTTTTTGTTTAGCAATTTTATATACAGATGAGATTTGAAATTAAAATAGAATCTATCCTGAACTAGACTTCATAAAACTAATCTAAAAGGTGATTAATTTCTAGAATTAGGGTCAGAAGAGAGCTGAGAAGTGAGGTAGAATGTGGAAAGAAGATGTATTAGAGCAGCTTCTTCTCTGAATCTTTTTCTGTAGGTCACTTTCCAAGGCTCCAGTTACTAGTGGTAAACTGAGGCTTGAAAGTCTTAATGGAAAATAGTAGAAATATTCATAAATTTTAAATTGGGCAGAATTCTTAACTAGTATAGTGAATTCTTGAACTGTTCTATTCCTTCTTGCTCAGGACGTGAATCTTCTCTTTGTTCAATTCTCTACCACAGAGCTAAGATGCTACACACATATTAGTAGCCATCCAGGTTATCAGATATACTGTCAGTGACTCAAGTGATCCTTACATAGTGGCCTAATGTTACAGTACAGTGCTTATGTCTTTTCTCTCACTTTCACATAAGCATCATGTCATCATACATTAAAAGAGAGACCATATTCACATAACTTTTATTATGTTATAATTATAGATATTGTTTTTAATTTCTTACTATACCTAATTTATAAATTAGCTATACATAGGTATGTATGTAAAAGAAAAAAATGTATATATATAGTTGAGTAGTAGCCACATTTCAGGCATCTATTGGGGATCTTAGCATATACCCTCTTGAATAAGAACAATTGTTTTCTCTTTTGACAACTGCTTGACATAAAGAAATGACTTCTAAGCAGTTCTAGCAGAACTGTTGTTCCTTGTACTTACTCCCTGGGCCTGGGAGGGTTTCCTTTATACTCATCCTCAGGTATTTCCTACTGTTGAACAATACAGATGGAAGCTCTTCCTCTCTTTGCAGGTGAAACCAGTGGGAATGAAAGTGATGGCGAATATCTGCCAAAGAGTGAGTGAGTCAGTGGGGCTGCTCCCTTTCTCATGATGTTACTGGTTATGGGTGGGGTGGCTCTTGTCTTTGTGATTAAGCTTGTTTTTCCCCCTCAAGAAGTTTCACTTTGTAGATCATTTCTTGATTTTTGGAATCTGATGTGATTTGGGAAACTAGTATATCAGTGATTTACAGAATGTTAAATCTCTCTAATGGATAGAGGCCAACCAGTATGGTTCTAAGGATGGGGTGTTCTTTCAAGAGCAGGACATATATGCAGTGGTTTTGTGGCAGCCCAACAGAGTGTATGAATTACCCTCTGCAACAAATACTTTCCATTTAATAGCTGATTTTTCATAGTAACTCAAGTATAGTTATATAGTCATTTTGGTATCTTTGGGTTTGAAAAAGGAAACATTTAGTAAAAAAAAAAAAAAAAGAAGAAAGAAAGATTTAGGAACTGAGTATGTAGCTCAGTGGTTAGTGGTAGAGAGATTGCCTACCATGTGCAAAGCCCTGAGTTCAATTGCCAGCACTGGGGGAAAAAAAAGGAGAAAGGAAATATTACCTGTTTTTATTCATAGGCAGTTATATTCCAATGTATTGTGCTGTCTGCTTTGTGTTAGAAAGTGTATTTCTGGCTCTACTCATCCAAGCACTTCATGGTGCTCTGTATCTTTATCTTTAATGAATTGTCACAGCAAGTTATTTACTTCCTGTTAAATACCTGACATACTGATGGATAGAAGAGTAGGGAACATGAACTATCTGGAAATCTGATACTTTGTAATCTTCTGACTAATAGTCTTGTGCTTATTTCACTGGCCTGAGTTGCCTCAGAGGTTTAATTCAGTAGCCTGACTAAAGCATCATGAGGTTCAGCCTTGATGTGTGAGGATGACTATTTTAGTGTTATTGCTAAGGGAGAAACAAGACCTAAAATTGTCTTGACTTGAGCTTAGCCTGTTGGGGTAACTAAAGGTTTGCCTGGAGCACTAAATGTCATAAATAATTTCAGGGAGCCATTCCTCTTTGTATTTTTAAAGTATTTTTAGTGTTTTAGTATTTTTGTGCCATCATTAACTTCTTTTGAGGAAGAATGTGTTGTATCTCAAAAAAAAAAAAAAAAAGAGAGAGAGAGAATGAGTCTCCTGGTCAGTGACTCAGAATGACACAATAGTTACACTTTTTCCTCTGCAAGTATACCATTTCCCTAGTAAAGATGGTCCAAGTTGTTCAGAATTTAGAGATAAATAAGAATAGAAAATACATGTTATCCTGTTTGGGGCAGGTATTGTCATGTACTATTTTAAAAACATGCTTCCGTGGTTTGATTCTTTTTAAGTAGTAGTCCATTAATAGGTATCTTCTTCTACTTCATTTTCCCCATGAGTTTAGCATGATTTATTGATATAAGCATATATCTATTACCAAGGAGAGAAAGGAAAAGCACAGTGTAAAGACAGCTTTTTGTTTAATTTTATCAAACTCATCTCTTTCTCCACAGACTCAGTTTGTTTTTCAAATTCTGACCTCTCCCATGAGTTTATGACATTCCCACCAGTGGTATCTATTGTTAATCCATTGCATCTTGCAAACCTTTTAATGTGTCCTGTTGTGCTGCCAGGAAAGGTTGGATAGCATGGAATGTGTGTTAGGCTTACATAATGTACCATTTGGGACATAGAAGCCCAGTCCCACTCACTGCTGGTTGGAGGTAGATTGAACCTGGGCTTTGTGAGGGTCTGCCTTTGTCCCATGAGTGTTTCATTGCCTAAACAGGTAAGTGTGTGAAGCAGATACTGGTTAGTCAGCATTCATTTAGCAATGACTGTGTGAAGATTACTCATATAGGTCTTAACCTCTAGGGCTAAAGGAAGACAGTACCACAGGGGAAATCATTACTCTGTGACTTCATTACAGATCGCCATAAGCGCTTAGCACAACTGCTGCAACCTTCCAAGAGGAATCCTCACTACCAGACCTTGGAGCGGGATCTTATTGAACTGCAAGAGCAGCAGTTGTTTGAACTTTTTGTGGTGGTATCTTTACAGAAAAAGTCATCAGGAATAAGCTACATTCCCCAGATTATACAGCAGTTCCCTAGCAAGGTAGGCTCATGGAAGCCAACAGGCATTCAAGAAGGTTCCTATGTGCTGTTTATGTTTATTTCCTTTCTTTTTATTTATTGTTATCTCAACAAAGTTTGCCCTCTACTGTAGGATCTGGTTAGTGACTTTGACAACATCTTATGTTAGACATAAGCTGCTCCAAAATGGAGATAGGAGAAGAAAAAGTTCATTTCTTAAATGTGTTTTATAATTTTGACTATACCATTTAATAATTTTGTTTTCCAGGTAATAGTTTTGGCTATATCATTTAATAATTTTGTTTTATACTTAATAATCTTTACAAAGTCTCAATTTTCCTACCCCTAATTAGGGAAAGAATAAATGTAGTAGAATAAGGTAATGATTTATATATGGATTCTGAAATAGCACTCTGTGTTAGTCACTTATTTAGCACTGTGGCTTTGAGCAGTTACTTAACCTTTCTGTGTCTTGTGTTTTTCATTTGTAAAATGGGATAATTATAACTATCCCTTTGAATTGTAGTAAAGTTAATATGGGCTAAATATATATAAGGTCCTTAGAACAGGGTCTGGCATATAATAAGCTATGTGTAACATTTTCCACTATTAAGTAAATATTTAATGAGATAATGTATGTAAAGTACATCATTCAGATGTCAGATACTAAATGGTGGCTGTTATTATTAACACTGTCACTTGATTCTCTCTTTTTCAAAGCTCATTAATTTAATCAAATATTAAAATGCCTACTGTTTGCCAGATTTAGATAATAGGAGTACAACTGAAAAAATATTTTCTTCTTTTTGTTTATTTTTGCCACAGGGTCTTGCTATGTTCAGGTTGGGCTTGAACTCATGGTGTAGCTCAGGCTGGCCTAGTCCTCTTGCCTCAATCTCCCTGATGCTGGGATTATAGGTGTGTGCCATCATACTAGCAAGAAAGATTTTCTTTTTTTTTTTTTTTGTCTTTTTCCTTTTTATCGGTACCGGGGATCGAACTCACGACTGCCTGCTTGCAAGGCAGGCGCTTAAAGCAAGAAAGATTTTCTTAAAGTCTCACTGATCTTACTGAGTCTGTGAACAAACCAAGCCCATCAACATGTGGGTTTTCCTTTTCCTTTCTTTCCTCTTCTTTTTTTATTTATATAAGATTTTGTAAAAAAAAAAAAAAAAAAGTCAATATTTATTGTTTCTAATGTTTAAGAATTCATCCTTTCAGAGTTTGGGGATATAGCTCATGTCATGCGCAAGGTTATGAATTAGATCCCCAACACTGCATAAAACAAATAAAATTCCACACAAAAGTTTGTATTTCATCTTGAGAAACTGGAAAGACTACCAATGCTTAGCTCGCATTTCTGAGTGTCAGGAATTTGCTGATGCTGAATAAAAATGACTTCATGGGCCAGTGCAATGCATAAGGTCCCTTACTAAGAAGGGCCCCTGGCTTAAGGTTTAATGCTTTGTGGTCACCATCTTGAGATACTTAATAATTTTTATCTTTGAATTTGTGTTTTTGTATTTGAAGTCCTATGAGACTGTTGGGCTTCTACCAAGTTTCAGTTCATGCATGGTCTCACATTCTGCTGCCCTCCGGGGATGGCTCTCCTAGTTTTCATGGTTCTCTCGGCCCTGTTGTGCCTCCTTTTCATCCCCACAGAGTGACTGCTGCCACTTTCTGTCCTTGGCAAGGGCTTATGCACTGACAAAGGAAGCTTGTGCTCAGGCAAGCACTGCTCCACAGCATTTCCAGGCAGGCAAGGGGACAGCCCTCCCTGCTCTGCTGGGACTGCTCAGTGTGTCTAGTGATGACCTGGTAGAGAAAAAGCCTTCCCACCACCCCAAAGGACCAAGCACATCCTTGTTCAAAGCTGTAATCTAGGAGGTTGCCAAATTATTGTGGGTTAAAATGATGACCGTATGGGAAGGGGAAATGGCATGCTTACCTTCCACATCTCTGGTCAGCCCTGAGTCTTAGTTCTGCTGCTGACCAGAGAGAAAACTGAGTAGCTACGACTACCAGTGTATCAGATTGGAGGCTCAGGCCCCTCGTAAGGGGGTGTACTTGTCAGTCAGGATCCTTGAGCCAAGGAAGGCAGGTAAAATCTCACTGCAGCTTCAAAGACCTCAGAAGCAGGAAAACGTTTTGTATTTGTTTGTATTTCATTTTTTTCTTTTAAACAAGATCCTTCACATTTTCATCTTGCTGTCTGCTTAGAAAATTATCTGACTCGATTAAAAAAAAAAGAAAGAAAATTATATGGCTAGCCCTGGGCACGTTTTATCCCTTTAAGTAGGAGCATTTATTCATTTTTCAGTTTATTTGTACTGCTTCTCACTTAAGACTTTGTATTTATAATCCAGTTATATTTTTCACTAAAAAGTAGTGAAACACGTTGCTGTAATCTAAAAAACATTTTCTTCGTAGATTCTCATTTTTCAGTGTCTTCAACATTTCTTCAGTAAATAAATATATAAGTTTACTTTCTCATAAACTCTTCAACTTAGCTGAAAATACAGTGTGACAGCATTGTTTGGTAAAAGGAACTTACTTGGTGAGAGTGGCTTAATTTTTTAACCTGGTTTTCATTAGTTTTATAATTGGAGAGAGTAAAGCTAAACCTGAATTCATAACCTCACAACCGTGTAAGGACACAGTAGTGATTCAGAGATGTCTCCAAGTAAGCTATTACTATCTTTGTGCCTCAAGCATCCATCGATTGGGTGGGAGTGATCCTGTTGAGCCTCTTTTGGTTTCAGTTGTGGAAAAGCTTGAATGAAGAGGATTGTGAATCATTTAACACTATAAAAAGTATAGACTATGGGCTGTACATGGTAGTGTACATGTGTAATTCCAGCCCTCAGAAGGCTAAGGCAGGAATGCCTTGAGTTCAAGGTTAGTCCGAGCTACCTAGTGAAACCTTGTCTCAAAATTACAGTATAAACTGTAACACCCCTAAAATTTTATTAGATGCTTTTCCTTGGTGGGGGGTGCTGGGGATCAAACCTAGGGGCTCACACATGCTAACATAGCAGTCTACCACTGAGCCACACCCCCAGAACTGATACTACTATTCTGTTTTTTTTTCAATTCTTATGTTTCAGTACATGTTTGTAGTACATAGTGATTATATTCTTATATTCTTTTTTTTTTTTTTTTTTTTTTTGGCTTTTTTCTTTTTATCGGTACCGGGGATCGAACTCACGACTGCCTGCTTGCAAGGCAGTCGCTTATGCCGCTGAGCTAAATCTCCAGCCCCTATATTCTTACATTCTATATTCTTTATATTCCAAATTAAAACAATACATATTTCAATTCTTTTTTACATACCTTTCCCTCTTTCCTCTCTCCTTCCCCCATCTCTTGGTGCTTTTATGTTTGTTTTTTAAGAGCTTAATATCTGAGTGTCTAAGAATGGCTGCATTTTTATTTCAAACAATAAACAATAAATCATTAATTATCTGAAAGTAATATGATAATTAAAGGTGTGTGGCTGTCTTTATCCAGGACAGGTCATAATAATTTCTGAATATCTTAGTTTAACTAAATGTAGACTGTCTTTTAAAGTATAATACCACACTTAAACAAGTGTCTTCCATGCTAAAATTTAACAGGATGTTGCAAAACAGTAATTAGACAGTAAAGATTGTATGCTAAGGGAAATGATTATATATGGGAGGAATTCTAAAAATAGTATCTTTTCTAAATAACATTCATCTCCTTTTTCAAAACATCCTTGATTACTGATCAGAGAATATCTTGAACTGGCTTAGTTTTTACTGTCAGTAATATTAGACATTTTACCTATCTTCTATCCCATAATTCATGAAATACGGATTCCTATTTGTGCATCCTGAATTAGATTGTACCTCTAGATGAGAAATTATTTTCACCCACCTTTCTTAACACTAGATTATAGTGTCTCCACAGGTACCATTTGTGTTTAAAAATAGTTTCCTTATTTTTAGTAGCTGTTCTTAGTACATTCTTCTTGAATTTTTAATCTTGGCTTTCCTGTTTTGCTAAGCAGTACAAAACAACACTGAGATAATCTGCTTTGGGTTGGTTTATACCTTTTTTCCTAAGACCAGGCTCAGTTTTTATTTTTATTCTCCACCTTCGTGGAATATTGTCAGCTGTGGTATTATCTTTCTCAGGGTGATCATGGCTATAAGCAATCAAAAGACACTGAAGAAAGGCTCAAAGTTATCCCAAAATTTTGTTTTCCTGATTCAGAAGAGTGGATACCAACATTACAACTCAAGAGGTAAATGGGCCACTTTGTCTTACTTCTCTTTGTTGCAACTGCAAAAAGAGAGAGCATTGAGAAATGAGTAGAGCCAGAAGTGAAGCTGTATAAATACTGGAAGGATGCAGTGGAAGGAAAGGAAGAAATAGAATTAGGACATTTCCTATGTGGGACTCAAAAAATAAAAATACAAAATAATTTTAGTGTCAAAGAAAACAAGTTTGAAAGTCTGTACAGTTTTCCAGTTCTGTAGAAAAAAATAGTTCCACTTTACATAAAATAAGACATGGGACAAAGAGGACAGGAAAAGAAGACTTGAACTTTGGGACTCCAGACCTAGAAAAAGCTAAAACAGAACCATGTTCCTCATCTTATTTCTCCTTCAAGTTGATAGAAAAAGTCACAGTTGAGACTCTATGTTTCCCTGTGGAGCTTTTCTTATAGAGGGAGAATGTTCAGTTTGGGAGATGTGAGTATATTGAGAAGAAAAGAATTAAAGAATTTCTTACATGTAATTATAGGAAATCACTATTCTTATTTAATAAAACATCATTATCTATGAACTGCTTATAAATAGAAACTGTTTTATTAACAGTATGGTACCAGAAACTCTATAAGAGTATAAGGCAGGAGAATTTCATGAACTTGTGAGTTTGGGACCTGCCTGAGCATCAACTTAGCAAGACTCTGTCTTGAATAAAACAAAACAAATAAAAAACCCACCTGTCCTTACTGAGAGTGTCTTTTAGGCAGAAGAGCTTGTTTAAGTGAGCGGTGTCACATGCTGATGGCCTGCTGGATGGTAGTTTCAACTGTTGCTTAAGAAGCTCTGCCTCACCTCCACACTTAGCTGCTGTCTCTCATAACCTGTTTAATCTGATCACCTCTTCATCTCTCAGTCACCAGCGTTAGTGTTCTTGTGTTATCAGTTCCACTGCTAAAACATCTTTTTCATATTAACTTGGTTGCTCTGTGGTGCTTTTCTCCCTGGGTTATATGTGCTTATTCTAGAAACAGATGAATAAGTAAAAAGCAGAAACTAGAACTCACTGGTGCTTTGGTACTTAGAGATAATCCATATAAATATTTTGGCATATTCCCTTCTGATCTTTATTTTTTGGCCATATATAGTTATAAATAGTATTCATCATTCAAATTAATGTTTCTTCGATTATTAGCAAGTGTTTCTTCGATTATTAGCAAGTTTTTCCTTGGAAATCTTTGGACCTTCTTTTTGGAAATTATCTTTGCATATCTTTTGCCCATGTTTCAAATGAGGAATTATACTTTTCCTATTAATTTTGGGAGTTTTTGTTTTGTTTTTGCTTTTTTTTTGAGACAAGGTTTTGCTATGTAGTTCAGGCTGGGCTTGAACAATCCTCCTACTTCAGCCTCCTGAGTGCTGGGATTATTAGTATGTGCCACTGTGCCTGACTTCCTATCAATTTTTTGTATACCACTGTTGTGTATGGTCTTTCAGAATTAAATAGAAGAATCTGCAAAGGAGCAGTGTCACATCAAAGTTCTTTATAACTTACCTACATGTTTGACTAAATCAGATATGCAACAAAAGGAAAATAGAATTAGCAGCTAGAGTAGCTAAGTAACAGAGTAAAAAAAGGCAACAGTTTATCCTGTACCAGTTTGCTCACTCAGCACAGAATCTTGAGGCCAGTCTTGAGGCCTGGACATTCCTTAGAAGAAATGTGACATTATTTAATAAAATGTCATATTATTGCCTCCCCTTTGATCACAAAATGACTGATATTAGGCCCTATTTTTAGTTGTTTATTCTATGAGGAATGCCATACATGGTTAGTTGGATTTTAGAATAACAGTTGATTATTTTTTCAGTGAAACTTTCTCCTTTGTTTTGACTGGTGAAGATGGAAGCCGGTGGTTTGGTTACTGTAAGAAGCTCTTGGTAAGTACCAGACTTGTACTATAGTCTGAGTTGGTCAAGAGACAGTGAAGTCAAACTGGGAAGTTCAGAATCACTATCTAGATGAGTTTGATTTTTTATTTGTGTCTTTTTGAGACAGGATCTCAAAGTGCAGTTCAGGATGACCTTGAGCTCACTTTATGGTCTTGAACTTGTGGCAATCCTCCTGCCTCAGCCTCCCAAGTGCTGGGATTCTGTGTTGTTTATTCTATGAGGAATGCCATACATGATTAGTTGGATTTCAGAATAACAGTTGATTATTTTTTCAGTGAAACTTTCTCCTTTGTTTTGACTTTCAGAATAACAGTTGATATTTTTTCAGTGAAACTTTCTCCTCCCATGTGCACCACCATGCCCAGCTTCTGGAGGAGTTTGAGGACTCCCAATGATTAGTATTTTAAAGAAGCTGTGTTAGCTTTATACAGCAAAACAAAGGTGAAGTTCAGTCACAGCATACTCTAGAATAGAAAGTAAGGATTTATTTTATTTGTTTACAATAAAGACATAGTGGTTGAATATCAGTCTGGCCACATGTGAAGAATGAACTGCAGTGACCCAACCAAGGAGTGCTGAGATACCAACCATGTTAGGGCTTTCTTCTTGTTTAGATGCCACCCCTTCACCTGTAATAAATCATGCGATCGTGGTTAGTACTTTGCTCGTCTTGCACTGTTCATTGAGGATGGAGGCCTTAGGTCTTGCTCCATGCTAAGGGAGTCAGGTACAGTGGATGTTCTTGTAGTCCCAGCTACTCAGGGATACTGAGGCAGGAGCATTGCCAGAGCTCAGAAGTTCCAGATCAGCAAGAATGACATAGTGAGATCTTATTTCAGAGAGAGACGAGGGAGGGAATATTAAAAGAATATTAATGGGTCTTAACTACTAAAAACTTGTGCTGTGTGATTGTTGTTTTCTTACAGCCAGGAGGCAAAGGAAAACGACTCCCTGAGGTATACTGCATGGTTAGTCGCCTAGGCTGCTTCAATCTATTTTCAAAGGTGAGTGAAGAATCTGAGTGAAAAATGGGGTCTGTGAAAGGTGATGAGCACTGAGAAAACTTTGCTTGCTTATGACGTCACTGGACAATAGACTTTACCATACTGCTTTAGAAAAGTTCTCTATTGATGAATTAGAACCACAAGCTTGAAGACTAAATGTAGCTCTCCCATCCAGCTGACATTGCTGCATCATCCTTATTTTGTTTTTCTAAAACTCCCAGGTTTTTTGTTTGTTTTATTCTTTGTCTTTTTGAGACATGGTTTCACTATGCAATTCAGGCTGCCCTTGAACTCACAGAGATCCTCCTGCCTCAGCCTCTTGAGTGTTGGGATTACAGGCATGCACCATGCACCCAACTAAATCTCCCAATTTAAAGAGAACACAACCCAAACCTTGTCTTAATGTGCTTCCTAGATCCCAAATTACACTGATAGATAACATTGTCAGTGTCTTTTTTTTTTTTTTTTTTTTTTTTGAGATTAGGTTTTACAGTTCGGTTCAGGCTGGCCTAGAATTCACTTCAAGGTTCCCCTCAGACCACCGACCCATTGTGTCAGGGTTTTTTTGTCCCTTCTGTAGTGAAATCAATTGATTTGTGTTAGTAACTTTTTCAAGGGTGTAAAGATATCCCACAGAGACCATACGCTCTAATGAACTTTTACTGGTTGTAGAAACTTGCCTGTTTTATTTTTTTATTTTTAATTTGTGGTATTTCTGAGACAGGATCTTGCTTTACAATTCAGGCTGACCTTGAACTCACTATGTAGTCCAGGCTGCTGCCACAGCCTCCTGAGTGTTGCGATTGCAGGCGTGCACCACTACATCCAACGGAAATTTACCTGTTTGAAATCTATTGCTGTTATGTTCAACACGTGCACCAAATTTGGCAGGTTCTAAAAAAAGGATTTTTATGAGGATTTCTTGTTTGATTGTTTGTTTTTTGGTTTTTTGTTTTGTTTTGGTTTTTTTTTGAGTCTTTGTCTCACTATGTAGTTCAGTCTGGCCTCAGACTCCCAAGTGCTAGGATTACAGATGTGTGCCATCATGCCTGGCTGACTGTTATGTCTTTGAACTGAGTTAATAATAAAATAACATATTTTTTGTGTGTAGATTCTGGATGAAGTAGAGAAAAGAAGAGAAATGTCTCCAGCCCTTGTTTACCCATTCATGCGAAGTGTCATGGAAGCTCCTTTTCCAGCTCCTGGACGCACCATCACAGTCAAGAGCTACCTCCCTGGGGCTGGGGATGGGGTAACTTACCTCATTTCATAAAGATTTGATAGCCATCAAAAAGCAGGTCTTGTACCATAGGCCAATTTCCAGAAGCAAAGAGCATAGTTTCTTTCTATAAATGAGAAGTATTTTTTCCCGAAAAGCACTGAAGAAACATTTGTAATGCAGTTGAACCATGACCCAAGACCTAAGAATTATTTACCCATACATGGACTAGGTCCACTCTGTACTAAAAATTTCAGTGTGATAAGTAACAATTATACATATTATTGTCAGATTGAATGAAGGATATTGCTAGAAATTTACAGAACAGAAATAAGATACAGGATCTTGGGATTAGAATAAGCAGCTTCACAGTCTTCCTGTGGCCCCATAGACTTTTTGTAGTAGACCCTTTTTCTTGAATATAAGTAGTAAAGGCATAAGAGAATCTGCTAGTGTTGTCATTCAAGGTTGTTTTCCAACATCCACTCCCCTGAATCAAATTTTTACATTTCAGTCAATTGAACTCTGCCGACCACTAGATTCACGATTGGAACATGTGGATTTTGAATGCCTTTTTAAGTGCTTGAGTGTGTGCCATCTCATCCGGGTCTGTGCCTCTCTCCTGTTGGAGCGGAGGGTGATCTTTGTTGCCAACAGCCTAAGGTAAGAAAGAAATAAGTTAAACAGGGCTGGGGATGTAGCTCAGTGGTAGAGTACCCAGCATGCCCAAGGCCCTCGCACCATAAATAATAATATACGAAAACAAATATTTAAGTGAAATATGTTACTTTATACTTATTCTTGCTATTTTAAAATTTAGATATATTTATAAAAATCTAGAATTAGTCTCTGATTACCTAATGCTATAGCAAGGTGACTATAATTCCAGAAGCTAATGGGTCATTTACATTAGAGTGTAACGATGACTTTTCTTTATACATTATTTTTGCTTAAACTGCTGTTAAAAATTGGTACTCCCAGCCAAGTGCAGTGGTTGGCACCAGTATTCCCAGCTTTTGGGAGGCTGATGCAAGATGATTGTTTGAACGCAGGAGAAGTTCAAGACCAGCTGGGGCAACATAGGAAGAACTATCTCTTTAGAAAATTGTTACTGCTTTTCTACATGCACACTAATTTCTAGTTTGATAAATTATAAAGAATCTGGGTTAAGGTTAAACCTTTTTCAGTTAAATGAAGCTGAAATTTTTAAGGGGTGGGGATATAGCTCAGTGGCACAAGCACCTGCCTGGGAAGTACAAGGTGCTGAGTTCATTTCCTAATACCTAAATAAATAAATAAATAAATAAAATTAAAACATTAAAACTAATGCATACTCGTGGGGTTGTGAATCTGTGAACATAAAACAGCATCAGTATGGCATTCTTTACTGACATAGCTAAAACACCCTGCATGTGTTGCTCTGTATCTGACACTATTCACTTTCTCCTCTGGCCAGCACACTGTCAAAATGTGGCCATGCTGTGGTAGCTACCTTGTATCCATTCACATGGCAGCATACCTACATCCCAGTCCTTCCGGCATCTATGATTGACATTGTGTGCTCACCTACCCCTTTTCTCATTGGAATCCTATCGTGCTCCTTACCACAGCTCCAAGACCTACCTATTGAAGAGGTAAGCGGCCTAATAAATGGTGGAATTTTCATATATTATTAATACATTATGCTGTCATAATTTTGGCATCTTTTTCATTTTTGGGGGTGATACCTTTTTATTGAGATGAAAAAATTCTGTAGTATACATGAATCCAAAGTTGGCTTATTTACAGTAGTGAATAATGGACTCATTCTTGTGTTACTCTGAAAGGTAGGCTTTTGGAGGAATTTTCTTAAAGTCAGAAACAAAAATGACTCTGGGGTAATTTAAAAAATTATTTTAAAGAAACTGTTTCAAGCGTGATAGTACATACCTGTAATCCCAGCCCTTTGAGAGGGTGTGGAGGCAGGAGGGCCATACAAGTTCAAGCCCCATCTGGGCCACTTAGCAGGATATTATCTCAATAAAGAGGGAGAAAAAAGGCTGAGGATATAGCTTAGTGATAGAGCCTCCCTGGGTTTGGTCATCAGGACTGAAGGGAGAGAGCAGTAGGAGAAAAAGAAATGAAATGAGAGGAAATGAGGAGAGAAGGAGGAAACCTGTTTCAAATATAACACAAAACAATAAATGTCCTAAATAAAACAAAATATACAGCTTTGTGAATTACCTCAAAGTGAGCATTTATTTAGCCCTGCATGGAGTGGGATGAAATGGCACAGCAGTGGAGTCAGTTCCAGTACTTTGGTGTTCCCCATCATGCCTTGTGTTAATCTCTGGTCTCTTTCCCACTCTCTGTAAAAGGTCATCACTTGATTTTCATGGTGTTTATTTACTTGTTTTTCTTCATGATTTTACCCTTTTGGCATGTATCCCTAAACAATGTAATTATGCTTTGCCTGGTTTTAAGCTTGATATAAGTAGATTTATATAGTAAAGGTGATATTCCACTGGCTTGTTTTGCTCAAAATTTTGCATATAAGATTGATCCATGTTGATGGCATTAATAATAGTTGTATCATTTTTTAAAGTTAATTTTATTGGTACATTTTAGATATATATAATGATAGCATTCATAGCGAATTTGTACCTATGCATGATATATATTAATTTTTTTCCTGTTCCTCCCTTCAACTCCTCTTCCCTTATTTACAGAAGCTTTGTTTCTACTTTTTTGTTCTATCTTTTTCCTTTTTCCTTCCTAGCTTTTCACCTCCCCTTCTTTAGTTCCCCTTCCCATTTCAACATTTCTTCCTGATTATGTATAGCATTCCATTGCCTTAATGGATCATAATTTCTTACTCATTCTACAGTTGATGAACATTTGAATTGTTTTAGACTTTGAGTTATTATGAATAGTCTTAGTATAACCATCCGTGTTTATGATTTTTGTACACACATTCATTCAGTTTTGAGTGTATGTACTTGGAAATGAACTACTAGGTCATTGGATAAGCATTCCTTCAGCTTCAGTAAATAAAGTCAAACTCTTCCAAAGGAGTTGTGCCAGTTTAAACAACAATAGTGAAAGTTCTGGCATTCAACATCCTCACCAACACTCATCATTTGTGAAATGTATCTTACCTGTTGAATGTGTTTTGGTATTCTAATTTAAATTTGCATTCCTTGTTAAATTTGCATTCCTTGCATACTGTTGAGGTATGGTTTAGTGGCTATTTGAATATCATCATTTATAAAATTTGCTGTCGTTCTACTAGACTATTTACCCTCTTGTTTATTGGTAAGATGTCTTTTATTTTCTGTCTTTTTTTTTTCTTCTTGCAGTGCTAGAGTTTGAATGTAGGGCCTCACACATGCCAAGTGAGAACTCTACCACTGAGGCAAATGGAAAAAGTCATCTTAATTCTGGCATATGTATATGTGCTTTGTTTTGTTGTTGGTCTACTGGGACAGGTTCTTGCTATATAGCTGAGGCTGGCCTTGAACTCGCCCTCCTGCCTCAGCCTGTGAATGCTAGCATTACAGACATGCACCACCATGCTCAACTCTTTATTTTTTGACACATAGTCTTGCTATGTCGTTCAGGCTAGACTGGAACCCACAATGTAGCCTAGATTGGCCTCAAACTCAAGACCCTTCTGCTTTAGCGTCCTGAGGGTTAGAATTAGAGGGTGCCAGTATGCCCTGCTCTTTTTATATCCTAGAAACCAGCTTCTTTGTCCAATATTTGCCCTTTCATCTTACAAAATGATGTTTTTAATACAGAGAAGTTTTTGTTTTTGTTTTGTATTACTGGGAATTGAATTTAGGGAGGACTGAGCTACAAACCCAACCCTTTTTGAAGTTTTCATTTTGAAACAGGGTTTTACTAAATTGCCAAGGCTGTCCTTGAACTTGAGTAGCTGGGATTACAGGGCTCCACTGCATCCTGCTAGTTTTTAATTTTAATATGGTTAAAATTATCAATGTTTCTTTTTTCTTTTCTTTCTCTCTCTCTCTCTCTCTCTCTCTCTCTCTCTCTTTCTTTCTTTCTTTCTTTCTTTCACAGAGTTTCACTATGAAGTTCAGGGTGGCTTTGAACTCACTTTGTAGCCCTGGATGGACTTTAACTGTTCACTGATCCTCCTGCCTCAGCCTCCCCGGTGCTGGGATTATGGGCATGTGCCACACACCTGGCATCTTCTCATTTGTTACTAGTGTTATTTAAGGTTTTTAATATTAACTTAATGAAGATATCTTCCTACAATATCTTCTTTATTATTTTGCCTCTTTTAGCTCTGAATCCACCTAGTATTTTATGTTTTTTGTAAAATGCATATTAGAGGTCATTTGTTATCAATAACTACCTATGCCAGTACCACCTATTGAAGAGACTATTCTTCTACCACTATTGTGTTGCAGTAACCTTTTAGGAGTCTTTTACTCTATAAATGCACATACCATTATTTTCTTTTTGCTCGTACCATTATTTGTTTTCGTTTGCAATTTGTTGTATTGGTAGGTTAACTTTTAAATGAGCTACAACTTTGAGTTAATTTTGTTTGAAACTATTCCTGTTGCATGAGAGTCTCAAAACTTAAAACACCCTTTTGATCTGGCAGTGCTTGATGTATTTATCTGTGAATGTCTCTAGTTGAACCCGCCTGGTTCCTTTATTCCATAGGTGCTGATAGTTGATCTCTGTGCTGACAAGTTCTTACAGGAGGTGAGTGACAAAGGGAATAATTACATGTTTGGGATATATATTTCTGTGTAGATACTTACACAGAAAATATGTGAAAGTACTTAGAGAAGATGACTCAGGCAAGAATTTTAACTTCTACCCATACTTGAAATGATAGTTTCTACCTATCCTTGAATCATACAAGATTGACCTGAAAAATTTGGCTTAGGTTTATAGCTGTCTGTTCCAAAAAAGAAAGAGGAAACAGAGTAAGTGCCATGCTCAAAGTAAGTAATCATCCCTTCAACTCTAGATGGATTAACATAAAAGCCTCTAGTTGAGTTAAATTTAAAAGGCATTAGCTGCTTCCCAGCCACTATGAAGTAAACAGTTTTGCTCTACTATGCCCTTCTACCATGATGGTCTCGCTTTTAAGCTAGATGACCATGGACTGAAACTGTGAGCCAAATAAACCATTTTTTCCTTTAAAAAATTAGTTGGTCATGGTGGTACATGTCTGTAATCACAGCTCTTGGGAGGCCGTGGTAATAGGATTACTGTGAGTTCAAGGCCAGCCTGAGCTATATACTGAATTTAAGACCACCTTGCACTATGTAGGAAGACCTTGTCTTCCCTACCAAAAAAAATCATTTATTGAATTGAGGATGTAGGTTAGTGGTAGACCACCTGGCTAGCATGCATGAGACCCTAGGTTTAATCCCCAGTACCACACACACACACACACACACTATATATATATATATATATATATATATATATATATGCAATTAGAATGTAAAGATTAATAAGACAGATGCAATTTGAACACTCTTACAGTGCTTGAGTGTCTTACAGACCAAATGGATGGGGAAATATTATTTTAGAAATGATATACAGAAATAGAAATTTGAATAAAATAGGATAGGAACAAAAAAGAAGTGATTATTTCTTCTGGGTATTGAAGTAGAAAGGAAAAGTTACTAAATTCTTCTCAGTATCCCTGGATTATAAATTATATATTTATTTATAAGCACTGAAATACAATATGAAAAGAATAAAAACCAGAAATGGGGGCTTATACCTGTAATCCTGGAAGGTGTGAGACTAGGTAAGGGAGAAGGATTGTGAGCTTAAGACTAGCCTGGGCTACATTGAGAGTTTAGGCCAGTCTGGGATACATAGCATGAGACTCTTAAAAAAAATAGAAGGAGGAGGAGGAGAGGGGAGGGAGGAAAAAGAGGAGTAGGAGGAGAAGGGGAGCTGATTATGGTAACACATGCCTGTAATCCCAAAACTCTGGAGGCTGAGGCAGGAGGATCAGTGGGAGTTTAAGGCCAGCCTGGACTACATAGCAGAACCTTGTTACAAACAAACAACAAAATATAAAAAGGGAGGAGGAAGGAAGGGAAAAAGAAAGTAAGTTTGTTTCTCAGGACATTGTCTTTTTTTCAAGTTTAGCTAACTCATCACATTTGAAATATTGATTTGGGAATGATCTGGAAGATATCAGACTTGTATATGAAAGATAGCTAATAGAAAATGCCAGAAAATTTTATAAGGTATATGTTTTTAAAATTATAACATATACAAAATTGAATTTATAGATATTATATATAATCATGAATTTTACTCCATGTGAGGCCTTTCTCCCTCAGAGTTCACACAAAAATCTCATTTTCTTTTTCTTTAAGGTGTCTGATGAGAATGAAATTCTACCACCTAAACTTCAAGCTGCCTTGATGCAGATTTTAGAAGAACGAAATGAAATCTTATCTCAGGAGCAAAATTTTTCACAAGGTATGAGACAAGTAATCCAATGATTTAAGTTTAAGACAGTAAATATTTTTTTAATACACAGCATTCTGCATAAGGATGTCAAAGTAGTATTATTTTTCCTGTATCTTGAAAACCTTACACAAGTAATCCAGTTTCCATGCTGATCTTTAATATGTCAGGGTCACTTTTATTTCAGGGCCTTTGCACTACGTTTATAGAATGCTATTTCTCCAGATAGTCACCTGACTGCCATCCTTTCTTGTTATAGGCTCATGCTCGTATGTGATTTTTTTTTTCCCTGAGTTCTTCCTGAGTGTGCTTTTTAAAATGGCACCTATTCTCCTAGCACATGCTAACCTCCTCTCCTAGCTTCATTTTTCCCATGACTTGCACCATCTGATGTGCTAGAGAGTGTAAGTTTTATGAGAATCATGGCTTCATTTTTTTCCTTTTTCTCGTGCATTTTAAATAGTATTTACCAGCTACTTAATAAGTATTTGTAGAGTAAATGGGCCAATAATATTTATTGGGTGCATAATCTGTGGCAGGCATTACGCTAACCGTTTAGCACACATTTTATTTCATCTTTGTAGTATCCTTTTAAGTAGATATTGTCATTTAATCTCCACAGATGAGGAAACTAGGGCTGTTTAATTAGGAAATAGTTAAAAAGGAGTAGATTTAGAGAAGAAAAAAGTTTCATTTTGGCCATTAGGTTTGAGATACTAATTGGATGTCCAATATTTTGCAGACTCCAACTAGAGATGTTAAGTAAGCATTTATATATATGCATTTCACATTCACAGGAAAGATTCAGGCTAATGATAAACAATTAGAAATTGCTGTTTTAAAGTTGTGGGACCATATGAGTTTACCTGATGCAATACTACCAGTAGGAAAAACAAAGATTTAGAATTCTGGAGACTGGGCGGCCTGGGGTGAGTGTGCCCACAACCATCCCGAGCCCCAAGAGTTTAAGATCCTGGCTCCTGCCGGCCAGGGAACTTCACAGCTTCCTGTCACACTCCACTGGCCTCGCAGGGCTTGGACCTGCTGCCCTACCCACAGAGACCCTTGGCTCAATCCAGGAGCCAAGGGCAGAGAAGAGGATTTCCAACAGGCCCAGGGGAAACCTTGGAATAACACTTGAAACATAGAAATATAGGAAAATGACAAAACAAAAGACCGAAATACAATCTCAATCCTCAAGCCCATCGCAAAAAACCATAGGAGCTATGTACATTGAAGAAAATATATGCCATACACCTGAAATATCTGAAATAATAGCAACTGAAATAAAGAAGCAACTCCGGGAAGCTTTAAAGAAATTCAAACTAGAAATAATCTCCCAGGTAAAAAAAGAAATGAAAGAGATGCTAAGCATATCTAAAGAAGACACAGTTTAAAAATTGAAAGAACTAAACAAAAAGAATCCCTAGATGAACAATATAAGAAACAAACAGAATACATGAAGCAGATGCAAAGAGATACACAGGAAATAAAAAATTCCATTGAAAGTTGTAAAAAATCACTTCAACAAAAGTGGAGATAGAATTTGAGACCTTGAAGACAAGATTGCAGCTAGTGAACAGGAAAGGAAAGATTTTTGAAAAATAACAAGGAATCAGGAAATAACAATTCAACAGCTGCAAGATGAGGCAAAGAAAAACAACATACGATTGATAGGGCTAAATGAAAAAGAAGGGGACAACATAAAGGATGCCAAGAGGATATTTAGAGAAGTAATACCTGAAAATTTCCCAAAAAGTCAATAAGAGAATGGAGTAAAGTATTTCAGATCCCAAAGGAAAATGATTTCCAGCCTAGACTGATGTACCCTGAAAAACTGTCCTTCAAAATGGATAGAGAAATAAGATACTTCCTTGACAAAGAACAGCTGAAGAACTTCATGATCACCAAGCCAACCCTGCAAAGAATACTGAAAGACAGTTTACATACACTTAGGAAAAAACCACTAAGCAAAACAGACAATTAAACAGAACAGAAAGAGACATGTCAACAATAAACCAGAGCATAAAGACAACATGTCAACAATAAACCAATATATAACATTATAATCATTAATGTAAATGGTCTCAATGCACCAATTAAAAGAAACAAACTGGCAGAAAGGATCAAGAAACAACATCCAACCATATGCTATGAGAAACCCATCTAACCCAAAAGGACACTCACAGACTGAAAATCAAAGGATGGAAAACAATATTTCATGCAACAGAAACCCCCCAAAAAGCAGGAGTAGCTATTCAGTTTGCAGACAATGTGAACTTCAAACCAAGAATGATCAGAAGAGATAAAGGTCATTACATACCGGTTAGGGGAAAACTTCAAGAAGAAAAGATAACAATCTTAAATATATATACACCAAATTCCAGAGCACCCAGTTATATAAAGCAAGTATAAATAGAAATGAAAAACCAAATTAGCAGTAACACAAAAATAACAGGAGACCTTAACACACCATTGACACCAAGGGACAGATCAACCAGACAGAAAATCAGCAAAGAAATAAAAGAACTGAATCACACCTGTGAACAAACGCCCTTGATAGACATACAGAGTGTTCTATCCAACAACATCAGAATACACATTCTTCTCAGCAGTACATGGGACATTCTCTAAAATAGACCGTATACTAGCCCACAGAATATATTTAAATAAATGCAAAAGAGTTGAAATTACCCCAGGTATGTTATTGGATCATAGCACCATAAAATTAGAAATTAATGATAAAAGAAACTGCAGAAATCCCCAAAACACATGGAAACTGAATAACACACTCTTATGCAATCAGTGGGTCACAGGGGAAATTAAAGAAGAAATTAAACAATACCTACAAGCAAATGAAAATACAAATACAACTTAATGGAATCTGTGGGATGCAATGAAAGCTGTCCTCAGAGTTCCAACATCAGGAAAACAGAACAAATACAAATAAATAACCTGATGCTACACCTCAGACATTTAGAAAAAGAAGAGCAAGTCAAGCCCAAAGCCAAAAGAAGGCAGGAAATTATAAAAATCAGGGCAGAAATTAATGCAATAGAGACTAAGAAAACAATTCAAAGAATCAATGAATCAAAGAGTTGGTTCTTTGAAAGAATAAATAAAATTTATAAGTACCTAGCCAACCTTATTTAGAAAGGGGAAGAAAAAGCTCAAATTCATGCAATAAGGAATGAAAAAGGCGAAATCACTACAGACCCTATAGGAAAACAGAAGATCATCAACACCTATTTTGAAAACCTCTACTCTCAGAGGTTTGATTACACAGAAGAAATAGACAGATTCCTAGAAATACATGAAGTACCAAAGCTAGGTCAAGAAGATGTAAAATTGCTGAATAACCCAACTTCTATTAATGAAATTGAAAATGTAACTTAAGTCCTTACCTACAAAGAAGAGCCCAGGCCCAAATGGATTCACTGCAGAATTCTACAAGAAATACAAAGAAGACCTAATGCCGACACTCCTCAAACTCTTCAATGAAATCGAAAGGGAAATAATACTTCCTAAGTCATTCCTGGAAGCAAATATTGCTCTAGTAGTAGACTCTGAGAAAGACCAACTAGGGGCTGGGGATTTAGCTCAGCGGCATAAGCACCTGTCTTGCAAGCAGGCGATCGTGAGTTTGATCCCTGGTACCGATAAAAATGATTAAAAATAAAATTGAGAAAGACCCAACTAAAAAAGAGAACTACAGGCCAATCTCCCTAATGAACACAGATGCAAAAATCCTCAATAAAATATTGGCAAACAGGATGCAGCAAATCATCAAGAACATTATACACCACAAGCAACTGGGATTCATCCCAAGCATGCAGGGATGGTTCAACATATGTAAATCAATAAATGTAATCTACCATATCAGAAAAGCCAAAAGTAAGAATCACATGATCATTTCTATAGATACAGAAGAAACTTTTGGTAAGGTCCAACATTCATTCATGATAAGAACCTTACAGAAAATTAGAATAGATGGTCTTTCCCTCAATATAATAAAGGCCATCTATGACAAACCAACAGTCAGTATCATACTAAATGGACAAAAACTGAAGGCCTTTACTTTAAAATCAGATACAAGACAAGGATGTCTCTTATCACTGCTCCTATTTAATATAGTACTGGAAATACTAGCCAGAGCAATTAGACAAGAGAGAGAAATAAAAGGGGTAAAGATAGGAAAAGAAGAAGTTAAATTATCCTTATTTGCAGATGACATGATACAAGACCCTTGAAGCTCCATTGAAAGACTCCTAGAAACAGTAAATAAATTTAGCAATATAGCTGGATACAAAATCAGTACTCATAACTCAATAGCATTCCTATATACTAACAACAAAATCACAGAGAGAGAAATAAGAGAAGCCACCCCCTTCACACTGGCATCCAAAAAAATGAAATATTTAGGAATTATTCTCACAAAAGAAGTGAAAGATCTATAGAGGGGAAATTATAATACACTGAAAAAAGAAATTGAAGAGGATCTCAGAAAATGGAAAGACATCCCTTGCTCATGGATAGGAAGAATAAATATTGTGAAAATGGCCATTCTCCCAAAACTTTTAAACAGATTCAATGCAATCTCAATAAAAATACCATCAGCATATCTCATAGATCTAGAGAAATCACTCCTGCAAATTATCTGGAAACAAAAGAGACTTGGAATAGCAAAGACAGTTCTAAGCAGCAAAGGCAAGGCAGCAGGCATCACAATCCCTGACTTGAAGTTATACTATAAAGCAACTGTACTAAAATCAACATGGTACTGGAATGAAAACAGATCTGAATCTCAATGAAATAGATTAGAGGATACGACCAGAACTACAAACATACTTAACCACCTTATCTTTGATAAAGGGGCCAAACATGTTCACTGGAAGCATGACAGTTTCTTTAATAAATGGTGTTGGAAAAACTGGTTCTCCATATGCTGAAAACTAAAACTAGACCCATGCCTATCACCATGTACTACATTAAAATCTAAGTGGATCAAAGAT